CAGGACGCGGCCCCAAGGAGAGGAGGCACCCTGAGACCCAGCCCCGAAGGGGGGGTTGCTGCTCCGGGAGCGCCGGGCTCCATCGTGGCTCGGGTACCAGCTGGGGGCTAACTGAGCGCAGCCTGGCTTGGGCAGAGCTGCTGTTGAATCCGGCTTTGGCTCAGCTGGCCCACTTGGTAAAAGCGGTAAAGTCCTGCTTGGTGCAAAAGCTGCGGTGCATCGGCCTCTTTCGGTGACAGCCGGCTGCCCGATGAAACCACGCTCCCGAAGGCTGAGCAGCCACGGGGGGAGCTCCGGACTCCGGAGCGGTGACTCAGAGCCGTGGTGACGTGGCGACTCTCCCGCGGGGACACCAGGCTTGGGCAGCCCTCTCCTGCGGGCGGGTTTGCACTCGGGGTTCTCTGGAGGATTATTCCTAATGGCAATGTGCTCCGGTCGCAGAAATGAGCCGTCCTGCTCCACGCACACGGGTGCCCCGTTCCCGCTGCCACCTCTGCTCAACTCAGCGTTCAGCAAGGCCATGAAAATGCAGTTTCCCAGCGTTTCTGAGCATGCAAACGTGCCCTTGGGGGGAAGGGAACACCCAGGCATCCCTTCCCCAGCCAGGCAGCGGACACCTTTGGAAATCTCTCCGTCCTGTGAGATGTTTTTCCTGTGGGTGAGTGCAAGAAGCCTTGAAGCCCACGGGGGACCCTTTACTCAAGGGGAGAGGAGAGCAGCTCTGGTGGGAAACAGGGTCCCTTTGGCCTCTGGGTGGCCCTGGACATCCTCTGCCAAGGCATGGGCTCCATCCCATGCTGTGGGCTTGTCCCCCTGCTTCCCACCACCCACTCTTCAGCAGCAGTGTGAGGAAAGCCCCGCCATGGCCTGGGGGCTTGAGAAGAAGCAGCGGGTCAGGATCAGCCCCTGGCTCCCTCGGTGCAGAGCCCCACAGCCGTGAGCACCCAAATGCAACCTCATCCTGCCCGGCCAGACGCATGGCTCCATGCCCGTGGGCCAGCAGCAGCAGGAGTGGGGTGATGTGGTAGGACCACCCGCAGGAACCCTTGGGCTCTGCCCCAGCCCTTCTTGCCCAGGCAAGCTCCGTGGTGGTGCTGGCAGGGTGGGGAAGGACAGAAGGAGCTTTCTCACTCCTCTTCTCCCCCCGCAGCTCAGTCCAGGCCAGGTTAAGGCTCTTCCTGGGCATCACAAGCCAAGTGCGGGGCTGATTCTGCTCTAGAGCCCCTGGGTCCAGCTGTATGATCTCCTCCTGGGTGCCAGCAGGTCCTGGGGAGCGTGGGAAGGGGCTGTGCTTTCTCCTCCCACACTGTGCCACCGGAGCTACTTGCGGCACCACTGCTGACCCTGTCGCCTGGCCAGGGACTCCCCCACCCCAGCTTGAGCCCACCCCCCCGAGCCTCCTGCACATCCCGTCACATCATGATGTGCCCGGACCTCCTGGAGCAGGGGACACCCCCAGGTCACCCGTGCTCTCCAGTCCCGGTCTCCAGGCCCACCACCCACCCACCTCTCCCACGCTCCTGGACCCAGCCTGGGGCTGCAGATTGTCCCCAATGGGAGACTCAGCTGCAGCCCCGCTCACTGAGCTTCCCACCACTCGAAGCACCGGCGTGCCCCTTGTCCCTCTGTCCCCATGGCATTCATGCAGGTCCTGGCAGAGACCCCTGTCCCCCAGCTCCAGCTCCATCCACCATGGCAAGCACATCCTGAATCACTGCCGGCATCCCACTGCACCCCAGCCTGGCACAAAGGCAGCACAAGCCCTGCGTGACCCAGGGCCGGCAGCCTTGTGACACGCGCAGGGGCTCCGATACCCGCACCAGGTCCCCCGAAAGCCCGGCCTTCGCAGGGCCCAGCCCGCCAGCCTGCAGAAGGCAGCGCCCGGAGCCTGCCGGGCTAATGAGAAGCGCATGGGACCCACATCTGGTAGCAATTGAGCGGGGCGCAGCGCTGGGAAGGGAGGAAGCGCAGATTTCCTGCAGCACAAAGGAAGGGAGAGGAATGTCCGTGGCGGAGCAGAGGCCCCGGGGTCCCCCCTCCCGCCGCCAGCTCAGCCCTGACGCCTTCGCTAGGGGTGCAAAGGCAATGGATTGCGCCTTGCTCCTTTGGGGGCACTGCTGGAGCTTGTCCCTGGGGACACACCCCTCCCTTCCCTGGGCTGAGACACCCGCTCCCCAGCCACCCCCGTCCGCTCCACAGGGGTGCACAGGCTCCCCGCGGCCGCTACACACGGCGCTCACGGCCATGCTGGCCCCCCGAGCCTCATGCATGGTCTCTCCCCTCCAGTCCGGTGCTGCTCAGGGTCAAGGTCAAGACCCTGCTGGGGTCAATGCCTAAGCAGTGCCCGGCTTCAGCTCCCCCTCAAAACGGCCTTGGGCAGAGAGCAGAGCCCCAGCGAGGTGGCAAAGGTGGCAAGATCAAGGTGGGGGCTGCTCTGCGCCGTGCCGATGGGGACGTGGCGCGGGGACAAGGCAGGATGCATGTAGGTGCCCACGAGCGCCGCAGCTGTGTCGAGGGCAGGCAGCTTGCCGGCTCCTGTGCTAGTACCGGGCGAAGGCTTGGCCCTCCATCCCCGAACATCCACGGCTGCCGAAGGGATTTGGGGGTTTATTGCTGGGGAACACCCTGGGGCAGCAAAACCCTGGGGCTGGGTGACACCAGGGAAGAACATTTAGCAAAAGCTGCCGCCAAGTCTTCATGGGGGAGGGTGGCAAAGTGTCGGGGGTGCTTTTATCCCGGTCTCTCCTATCACCCCCGCCGGAGCTGAGCGGCACGGCTAATAGGTTTTCATTAAAAGACCCCATTTTCCCGTCCCCAGCAGCTCAGTGGGCTGCAGCCCCCCAGGCTCTGCGCCACAGCTCCGGCAGCTCCAGTGCAGCAAAAACCTCCCGTCGGTTCCTGAGGATGGGGCGGGGGTTTTGCCTGTTCAAAATACAGGGCAGCCATTTCACGGGGACTTTGCTGCCAAGCGGGGGGAAGAGCCGGCAGGGGATGGCAGGACAGACGGACACAGCAGGGTTCACTGTACAAGGCAGGAGCCTAAGCAGCCCAGAGGCAGAGGGATCTGCGCTCAGCACACCCAAAGCCTCTCCGGGATTTGGGATCTGGGGATCCTTGGCTGGAACTCGGAGGGAACCAACTGGGAAAAAAAAAAAGAGCAATGTACATTCAGGGAGGTTTTAGGGATGCCTCGTTCCACCGGGGGTGCTCCGTGGTCTTTGCTAACAGGGGTGTTCCTGCTCCCCTCAAGCGGGCAGCGCAGCTTTCGTAAGCTTTGAAGTCACGGTCAAACTTTTTAGGCAGTTTTTAACAGATTCCAGTGGATCTTTCACGTCGCTAATTCCAGCCAGGGCCCTTCTTGTGCGTGCCACTGCAATGAATTTGCAACTCGGCCCGTGTTAAACGCTGACCTCGTTACCTGCACCCCAGCACCCGCCGTGGGAAACCATCGCCATCCCGGCAGCACCTTTGAAGTTGGAATGAACTTAATGAACTCCGTGTGTTTTAAGGGGTTAGGAGGGACCCTTGCGGCTGAGTGGTCTCGCCCTCCTCGGGGCTCCCCAGTGAACCCACAAACATTGCCCAGCTTGGCTCTGGCACGGTGTCCGTAGGGAACGGTCTGGTCACGGACTGGAACGAAACCACAAAGCCAAGTACCCGGAGAGCGGAATTCCTCCCATGCTGGGGGTCACCGCGTTTTCGGCTGGGGCAAGGTCACCCCCCGTACTACAGTAACCCAAAAGCTGCCCAGCCCCAGCCGGAATGCTTGGGGTAAAGTCACGGCAAACATCTGGAACCGCGTCCCAGCCCGCGCAGACGCTCTCCCCGCGCATCCCGCGGGAGAGAAACCTCCAGGAAAACCCCACCGACGCCCCGGGTGCGCAGCGGTGCCGCAGCGGCTCGAGGTGCTCGAAGAGCCATCGAGGCACCGGCACGCACCGGCACACGGGTCCCAGGGGAAGG